GATTGCCCAACCTTCCTTCCAAGGAGTGGCTGGTGGGTTTGAACTGCCAGCCTTCTGGTTAGCAGTCAAGTACCTCAGGCACTACGCTACCAGAGTTCCCAACACAAATATAGAGGATCCAGTTAAGAAATGACCCTTCCAGCAAAAATAGGTAAACCTTTCTGTCCCTTTCTATCTTCTACCTCCTCAGCTCAAACCTGAAAGGATCTTATCTAATAAGATGGGTACCCACATCTACAAAGGATTCGTAAGTGTAGCTAGGGTTGAGAATCAATGAATCAGAGCTGAAGTTGCACACTGAGTCTTTCCAAATAAAAAATTAAGCATTGAGCTGGAATAAATAATAAAGACCCTAAACTCTAGTGATGCAGTGGTAAGGCGTTTGGTCTTACGGTTGGTGGTTCTCATCCACCAGCTGCTCCACAGAAGAAAGATGAGGCAGTCTGTTTGCTTAAAGATTTGCAGCCTTGGAAACCCAATAGGGGTGGCTATGAGTTGGAATTAACTTAATGGCAGTGAGTTTTGAGTGAGAAGCAGAACAGAAGGAATTCTGGTGGCACTGTGGTTAAAAGCATTGGGCTGCTAACTAAAATATCTGCAACTGGAACCCACCAGCTGCTCTGCAGGAAAAAAAATGAGACAGTCTGCTGCTGTAAAGTTTTATAGCCTCAGAAATCCTATGGCACAGTTCTACTCTGTCCTGTAGGGTCACTATGAGTAGGAACCGACTCAATGGCTGTAGTTTGGTTTGAAAGCAGAACAGACACTATAGTACAGGTGGGTTTGGCACAAGAGCCACATGTGTTAGGCAGACGCACAATGACCATTACCTTAGCCACCCTGGGGAAGGCTCAACACCATTTCTTGAGTGAAGGGGAACTGATGGGCATTCCCTTACTTGGGGCTGCACATTGTCATCAGTGCCCCAATCAGTCTTTTACTAAGCCTCACTCACTGTTAAAATTCCTTAGTCCTGTGTCCCATTCTACTTGTACAGAGGTCTCAAATTAGAGGTCTGAGGGCCACATGTGATTAGAAGACCTATCATATATAATCTACAGGTTTAGCCTACACAGTGTTGTATTTTTTAAAAACTTGATTTGATGTACATCAAAAAATATTAGAAAATTCCACATTAAAAACCTGGAGTTTTGGCTTTTCCAAAAAACCCAGAACATCTAGCCATACTATGCCTACATTTCTGAATGTCCTCAATTCACTAATGTAGTGAGCAGCTACTCTCATTTAACAAATTGTGACAGGCTGGGTAATGGCTTCCTAAAGATGTTCATGTCCTAATCCCTGGACCCAGGGATATATTACCTGACATGGCAAAAAGGGTTTTACAGATGTGATTAAATTCAAGATCTTGAAATGGGAAGAGACTTTTAGATGACCCAGGTGGGCCTAATGTTATAGCAAGAATTCTCATAACAAAGAGGCCAACAATCAGAGTCAAAGAAACAAGGTGAGCTGACAAGGGAAACAGAGGGAGAAAAGCCTGTGATATGGGGCCCACCAACCAAGGAATGAGGACCACTTTTAGCAAATGGAAAAGGCAAAAAATAAAGAAGTAGGCATGGAGTAGACTCTGACTCTCTGTGATCCCATGTGTGTCTCAGTAGAACTGTGCTCCACAGGGTATTTAAAGGCTGATTTTTCAGAAACAGACAAC